TATATAGTTTTCTCATCTGGTTGGGATGTATAAATATATAATTATAAATGAAAATGAAAAGGTAAATATACATAAATATCAATAAAATAAAATAAATACAAAAAATACATAAATAAATAAAAGCCCAACCAGATGGAAGCCCTCGGCAGGGGAGACCAAACGGCCAAGGGTTAGGGGGAAAGGGAAAGAAACCGGCGGACGATGCGGGCAGTATCAAGGAGCACCGCCTTCTGCATTTGAGCCCGGAGCGGTCCGTCACGGAGTCCCAGTCGCCTCAGATGACCAGAGAGGCTAACTGGGATTAGCCCATTCGCAGAGACGACTACAGGAATAATTTCGGTCGGCAGACCACCCCACATATCGGTCACCTCGTGAGCCAGGTCCAGATACTTTGATTGCTTACCTGTTTCGGCTTTCACGAGGTTCTCGTCATACGGGACGGTAATATCGACCAAAAATATCCTTGACTGTGCCCGGTCCATCAGCACAATATCAGGCTTATTCGCAAGAATAGTCCTGTCTGTGATGATGGCCCGGTCCCAGTAGAGCCTGGCGCGGTCATTTTCGAGCACGGCTTCCGGCAAGTACTTGTAATACGGCAATTTCCGGTCCACGAGACCGTATTTCAGAGCGAGCTCCTGGTGTAGAATTCTGGCTACTAGGTTGTGCCTGTGCAAGTACTCAGAGTTAGAAAGCGCCGAACAACCGGAGATGACATGCCTAAGTGACTCACCGGGATGGCGACAAGCTCGACAGACGTCGACGGTGCCATCCTTTAGGATGTATCTCCGATAGTTGTTGGTCTTAATAACCTGATCCTGTATTGCACAGACAAAACCCTCGGTTTCCCCGAAGAGGTCACCGAAACGCAGCCAGTTGAGGGAGGCGACTGTATCTACGAAGGGCTCATGTAGAGCCCTGTAGTACCTCCCGTGGAGCTCTCTCTCCTTCCATACGGCCTCCCGGTCGGAAATGCTAAGCACTGCTGGGTCCTGCCATTGCTCGTTGGCTAAGGATAGAGGGGTAAGCCCTTTATCACTAGAAATGACGTCATTATAGAATGGATCATCCGATCTCGCCAGGAAGTAATGACGGAGGCTGCACACTTCACGATTATGCATGGTGAGCGCGCTCAGAAAGCCACGCCCACCATGCTTTCGCGGCAAGTACAGCCTCATTACCGACGATCTCGGATGATGCATTCTATGGGACGTCATGGTAGTGCGGACTTTTCTATCCAGGGCGTTAAGCTCAGTCTGACTCCACCTGAGTATGCCAAAGGTATACATGAGGACAGGTATGACCCAACCGTTATATGCGTGTGTCTTATTCACACCGGACAAAAGGCTATTAAGCACTTTGGTCAAGCGTGCATAAAACACGTCGCAAACTGACTGTTTCATACCAGCCTCATCGATACTGATATTCTGTGACATACCCAGGTATCGGTATGTTTCAGCCTCGGAAAGGGTCCTTAAGTTGACGGGCATAGATAAATCTATGCCCCCAGAGTTGGCAACCCTTCCCATTTGAACATGGAGGACCGCACACTTATCCGTCCCCAGCTCCATTCCAATGGAACTGCTAAATTCACAAGTGATGTTTAGCAATTCCATAAGATGGGAGCGACTGGAGGCGAATAACTTGAGGTCATCCATATAGAAAAGGTGGGTCACTTTTTCCCCTCCTTTCCGTAGCTGAAATCCTCTCCCGGATCCCTCCAGTAAGGTACTGAGAGGGTTCAGGGAGAGGCAGAACCAGATTTGACTCAGACAGTCGCCCTGGAAGATACCCCTTCTTATCCTTATGTGGTTCTCCGCAGCCATCATCCGCTCACCCAGATGACAAAGGATCGTACTCCACTGCCCCATACACTGCTCGAGGAAGTCTCATAACTGTACAGTCTATCTTGTACAGCTCGAGGACTCTCTTTAGCCATGTATGGGGCACCGAGTCGAACGCCTTTCTGTAGTCTATCCAGGCGGCGGAGAAGTTCCGACGGTTGCGTTTCACCACTTTGCCAATGACCGCGTCAATGAGTGGTTCCTGGTTCCCGACCACCGCCCCAATCCATTTTGAGCGCGTGACATCACCTGATTTATTAGTATTAGTATGTGGGGTATCCATATAGTTTTCTCATCTGGTTGGGTTCTATAAATATATAATTATAAATGAAAATGAAAAGATAAATATACATAAATATCAATAACATAAAATAAATATAAAAATACATAAATAAATAAAAGCCCAACCAGATGGAGGCCCTCGGCAGGGGAGACCAAACGGCCAAGGGTTAGGGGGAAAGGGAAAGAAACCGGCGGACGATGCGGGCGGTATCGAGGAGCACCGCCTTCTGCATTTGAGCCCGGAGCGGTCCGCCACGTAGTCCCAGTCGCCTCAGATGACCCGAGAGGCTGACTGGGATTAGCCCGTTTGCAGAGACGACTACAGGAATAATTTCGGTCGGCAGACCACCCCACATGTCGGTCACCTCGTGAGCCAGGTCCAGATATTTTGTTTGCTTGTCTGTTTCGGCTTTCACGAGGTTCTCGTCATACGGAATGGTAATGTCGACCAAAAATATCCTTGACTGTGCCCGGTCCATCAGCACAATATCAGGCTTATTCGCAAGAATAGTCCTGTCTGTGATGATGGCCCGGTCCCAATAGAGCCTGGCGCGATCATTTTCGAGCACGGCTTCCGGCAAGTACTTGTAATACGGCAATTTCCGATCCACGAGACCGTATTTCAGAGCGAGCTCCTGGTGAAGAATTCTGGCTACTAGGTTGTGCCTGTGCAAGTACTCAGAGTTAGAAAGCGCCGAACAACCGGAGATGACATGCCTAAGTGACTCACCGGGATGGCGACAAGCTCGACAGACGTCCACGGTGCCATCCTTTAGGATGTATCTCCGATAGTTGTTGGTCTTAATAACCTGATCCTGTATTGCACAGACAAAACCCTCGGTTTCCCCGAATAGATCACCAAAGCGTAGCCAGTAGAGGGAGGCTACTGTGTCTACGAAAGGCTCATGTAGAGCCTTGTAGAACCTCCCGTGGAGCTCCTTCTCCTTCCATACGTTCTCCCGGTCGGAAATGTCTAAGCACTGCTGGGTCTTGCCATTGCTCGTTGGCTAAGGATAGAGGGGTAAGTCCTTTATCACAAGAAATGACGTCCTTATAGAATGGATCATCCGATCTCGCCAGGAAGTAATTACGGAGGCTGCACACTTCGCGATTATGCATGGTGAGCGCGCTCAATAAGCCACGCCCACCATGCTTTCGCGGCAAGTACAGATGATGATGATGATGCATCCTATGGGACGTCATGGTAGTGCGGACTTTTCTATCCAGGGCGTTAAGTTCAGTCTGAGTCCACCTGAGTATGCCAAAGGTATACATAAGGACAGGCATGACCCAGCCGTTATATGCGTGTGTCTTATTCACACCGGACAAAAGGCTGTTAAGCACTTTGGTCAAGCGTGCATAAAACACGTCGCAAACTGACTGTTTCATACCAGCCTCATCGATACCGATGTTCTGTGACATACCCAGGTATCGGTATGTTTCAGCCTCGGAAAGGGTCCTTAAGTTGACGGGCATAGATAAATCTATGCCCTCAGAGTTAGCAACCCTTCCCCTTTCAACATGGAGGACCGCACACTTATCCGTTCCCAGCTCCATTCCAATAGAACTGCTAAATTCACAAGTGATGTTTAGCAATTCCATAAGATGGGAGCGACTGGAGGCGAATAACTTGAGGTCATCCATATAGAAAAGGTGGGTCACTTTTGTACCTCCTTTCCGAAGCTGAAATCCCCTCCCGGAGCCCTCCAGTAAAGTACTGAGAGGGTTCAGGGAGAGGCAGAACCAGATTGGACTCAGACAATCGCCCTGGAAGATACCCCTTCTTATCCTTATGTGGTTCTCCGCAGCCATCATCCGCTCGCCCAGATAGCAAAGGATCGTACTCCATTGCCCCATACACTGCTCGAGGAAGTCTCCAACTGTACAGTCAATCTTGTACAGCTGGAGGACTCTCTTTAGCCATGTATGGGGCACCGAGTCGAATGCCTTTCTGTAGTCTATCCAGGCGGCGGAGAAATTCCGACGGTTGCGTTTCACCACTTTGCCAATGACCGCGTCAATGAGGAGTGGTTCCTTGGTTCCACGACCACCGCCCCGGCATCCATTTTGAGCGCGTGACATCACCTGATTTAGCTCCAGGTGACGAGTGATTCTCGCGCTCAAGGATGTCAGTGTCTTATATATGGTGGGTAGACACGTAATGGGGCGGTATTTGCTCGGGTCTGTGGTATCCTGGTCTTTAGGAACCAAATGAGTGATCCCAGTAGTGAAGAGGCTCGGGAGCGACTTCTGATCGAGAGCCTCTTGAAACTGTCGGGCGAGCACAGCGTGACACACTACGAACCCCTTCAGCCAGTAATGATGCAGCCCGTCGAGCCCCGGACTTTTCCAGTTCGGGGCCCTACGGACCGCCTCAGCCACGTCTTCAGGCGTTATAGTGACGGGGTCCATAGGCGTAACACTTGCACTCTGGCTCGCCACAACTTCCATCCAAGGTCGCCCTCGCTGTGGTTTACGGGCTCTGACCACAGGCCACGCCAAAATGCGACAGTGTCAGCCTGATCCGGTCCTGGGCCCGCTCCACATACCTCTGGTCGCTCCAATGTTTTATAGAGCCTCTTCTGATCACTCTGGAAGAGACGATTCTGGTTGAACCGCCTTGACCTCTCGGTAAATCGTCGAATCCGCTTCCCCCAAGCAGCGATTTTTTGCTTCAGGTCATCTTTGCGCTCCGTTAGTTTTTGCGTGATATCCGGCTGGGACAAACTGATATTTGTCCCAGCAAACGCCATCCTAACGGTGCGCACAACCCTCGGTCTATTATTACCCGACCTGAAGCTTGTCAGTCTGCCGATAAGGGCCCTTGCCTTTGCGATACGGTCCTCAATTCTTTTTCTCCAGGCTGGGATGGCGCTACTTTTTTTGAGTAGCGCGTCCAGCCACGGGAAGTTTGGCGCCAATAATACGGCATGCTGCCAGTGCGGCGCCAAAAAGAACTGAATCCGTCTCGCAAAGGTCCCGGCTGGCTTCCAAATAGGTCACCAGCATTGGGTTAAGAGCCCGCACGACAGCCCGATTTCGCTTGCTAAGGGGTATGCGGGGAAGTCGCGGTCGATTTTCGAGAGGCATGGTGCGCGTTTCCAGCATCGACTCTTCCAATATACTCCTCATTTGCTCTAGTTCGTGGGAGACTATTCCATCATCGTCTGAATTAGCCACAAATGGAATATTGACGGCAGCATCCACATATGCAGTTTGTTGTCGCATCTAGTGGAGCCGCATCCCCAGCCGTAGCAATTTCCATTCGATGAGGGAATATCCTCACGCCGTAGTCGCTCGAGCTCGGCGTCACCAAATATGTTGGAGCGCAGGATGTACCGAACTCGGTCTGCCAGGTTTTGCTCAGTGACGGAATAGAGACGGCTCCAGCTCTGCAAAAAAAGCAATGCATCCGAGCCCGATACGCCAAACATCCAGTTTCTTCCCCTTTCGCCCTAAAGTACGCCCGCAGTGCGTTTTCATTCATTGATTTAGACCAACGCATGCGACGTGCTCCACCAGCGGCGGGTGCCGCTTGCCGAGTCCGAGAAGACCCAGCCGACACCAAGCCGTCTGGTGGGGATGATGGATGCGGGGGCTGCTAGGTGGTCTTGCAACACCCCGCGCTCGGCTGGCGGCCCGCATGCTGTCGCGTCCAGCACCAGCTCCAGCGCCCCGGCGACCTCCAGGTAGTGGCCCTTTGCGCACTATCTAATTTTCTCCATCATCCATAATATGGGCGTCAATTAACGGGAGACGCCCAGGCCCGGCACCGTTTTGCATCGTGTACGGCCATAAGCACAAACGGGCCTTTGCACCCTGAATACTGCCGAGGCACGGCGCTCACACCTCTGGCAAGGCGCTGACTGACTGCACTGACGTAGCAGTTTTGTCACTTAACTGTTTCGTCAGCGGGCGATGGGGTCGTCACTTCCCTACGCCTATATTAGTATTATTATTAATATTATTATTATTTACCTTAACTATTTTATAGGGACCCTTCTAGAGAGGGGAGAGTGCTTTCCGCAATCTCAAGTGTTCTTTATGTAGACATACTTACCGACTTTATATTTAACTACTCGAGTATGGGTGTCGTAGTGTGATTTTGAGGATTCTTTTGACTTCCTTATAAAATCTAAAGCCTTTTCTCTGGAATATATCAAACGGTTTTGCAACATGCGTACATAATCAGGGTATATAGCCCCTAGAGATTCATTATAAATGGAATTAGATATAAATGGTTTACTCTCGAACATAAGCTCGTGAGGTGTGTAATGTGTAGTGGAATGAACGGATGTGTTATAAGCGAGCATCGCGGTGTATACATAACGAGGCCAATTTAACTATTCTTCATTAATGTAAGATTTCCAAATATTCTTTTAGGGTTGAATGACTTCGCTCTAAGGCGCCTTGGGTTTTAGGATGATATGGTGAAGACCATAAGTTTTTTATTTTAAGAAATTCGCAGGTTTTCCTTAATAGGTCTGAAGTAAAATTAGTCCCTTGGTCGGTAAGGATCATCTTGGGAATACCGAAGATTGATATATAATGCAGTAAGCATTCACTTGTTTCTTCAGCAGTGGTACTCCGGATAGGATATGCATAGGAGAACTTAGTAAGATCATCTTGTATTGTGAGAATAAAACGTAATTTTGCTGGTCCAGCTTCGGGAAGTGGACCGACGATGTCCAAGGATATTCTTTGGCATGGTTCTGTAGATGTGCTGGTGATCTGCATTGGAGCACGGTTGATTTTTCTAAGTGCTTTATTTTCCTGACATGATTTACATTGTTTTACATATAACTCTATGTCACTTCGCATACCTTTCCAGTAATACGATTGCTTTATTCTATTATACATTAACACAGAACTTAAATGACCGGCTATCAAGATATTATGGTTATCGAAAAGGATTTTCTTAATTTCTGTCGGAGCTGGATATATAATATTATTATGGTATATATTAATTATAATTCGAGTATCGCGAAAGAGATAGCATAGAATATTGTATATTTTAATGAAGGAATGTTTTTCGAATGGATTTTTCAGATCCGATATACCGAGTTCTTTAATTCCCTCGGAATTTACTAATTAATTCCTGATTTTTTTAATGTTTGAAAGATTTCTGGATAGGAGGCCTCGTCAAAATGATGTACTTTGGTGAACAACAAATAATAGCATTTAATATTTGCTTCTATCTTTTTAAAGGTTCCTTCTCAGACTCATGTATTTCGGCAATGATTTGAGGGTCGGTTAATATTTCCTGAATGTATGGGTTAGATTCATCCAAATCGATGGATGTTGGGACCAGGATTACCTTCGCGGGACACTTCATAAGAGTTTCGTTGTGCTCTTCCACTTCTGTGTTAAAGGTCCTATCTTTGCACGACATAGATTTAAGGAAAGTAGGGTAGTCATCAATAGGTACAACTGGGGATGAGTTCGTGGATGGAAATGGGACATTATCGGTTAGGATTTCAGGTGGTGTTATCTGTTGAGGTAAGTTGATAGATTCATTTTCGATTTCTTCCCTTAGAATGTCTGGAATGTTGGAAGGCAGATCAACGTAGGGTAATGGGGAAGCATTTTCAGCTAAATCGAGTGGAGGAGAGATTGCTTCGTCTGGATTAAAGGAAGGTGGAGAAATTAGTGAGTCCATAAGGTTTTCATCTAGATTTCGACTTACTTTCACTGTAGGACGATTGGACGTTGGTAAGTCTGTAGGTTAGACAGGGTTTCGCTGTTCGTTTTTATTTGATGGCTTAGGGCGAATGTATAAATTAATTTATCATCGGGCAGATGAAAAATGTCGGAATACTGGGAACAAAGTTCAATGAGGGCGTTAGACTCTTCTTGGTTCAAATGCTCTATTCTTAATGAGTTTATTACGTCATTTGTACTATTAATTGTGTTAGAGTAAATTGTGTTCACTTGGACCACGTCAGAGTGTAAAGGTGTAACTTTAAGGTTTAGATTTGGATTAACGTTGACAGGAATTGGCTATAGTTAAATTAACGCGTTTGTTTTCTTTGATTTTAACGATGCAATTGGATATAAGTAAATTTTCTGATATGTGTTGGTATCATATATATGGTAAGATTGGTATCGCAAACCGAACATTCAATGACAGTTACGGTGCGTGGTGGAATAATATAAAATGGATCAACAAAATGCAATTTTATTTCTAATTTACTGATTTTGAGGGTGTCGTTTGTGTAGTCAATTTTACAGCCAAACGCAGTTGGAAAATCAGAGCCTATGATACCGTCATATGGTATGTTGATATATATATGACGTGGAATTTATATGACGCTGATATAGTTTTATTTAATTTTAATTTTAACGGAAAATAGCCCTCGGTGATTGTCGGTTCATCGCCCGGGTCTATGCCCTTAATTTTGACAGGTTCTTTTATTAGTTTAAGATTTCTCTGGATACTCGACTGTTTTAGCAAACATATGGCAGACCCTGAATGAACAAGCAGAGACAATCGGATATCCGTGATGGATGAATCGAGCAGGACATGTGGTAACAACCTTTTAGTTGTGTCTAAATTTATTTCATAGATTTCGATTTTGCTTGTTGGAGAAGGAGCTTTTGAGTTATGGGTCTTGGATAGCTGGACACTTGTTTGGGGCTGGTTACCCTTGTGATCCTTGGGATATTGGACTTTTGCTTGGGGCTGGTTACCCGTGCGGTCCTTGGATATGAGGAAGGAATGGTTGGTGCCGGCTTTTGGGTTTAGTCTCGGGCGACACCGTGACGAGACTCTTGACCGTTTAAAAGCTGCAGGAAGAGGAATTCTTCTTGGTCGACCTCACAATTAGGCTGCTCTATGAAATTGGCCATGGCCGCAACCCTACCTGGTAATTCTTTTGCTTTTGGTGTTGCATAGGGATATTTCCGTTAATAATTGTGAGAGACAGGTCTCCATACGGAGTGCGAATTGGTTAACGCTGTCATGTGGACTTTGCTTGCTCTCTTGTAATTCGATGAGAATGTGAGCGTAGTGTTTACGTTCACTGAATTGTGTCTTTAAGAAGTTTTTGAGCTGTTCCCAATCTTTAAACTCTTTTATAGAGCAAGCAATTTCCGCTTTACCTTGAAGCTGGCTAATAATATATTTAAATAAAATTTGTCTCTCAGACTCTGAGGCTAATTCGTAAGCATTATTACAATTAATTATAAAATAATTTACGGTCTCGCTACTACCGTCATATGGTTTAACAAACTTGAATAAGGTGTTTAAATCCATCTCGGTCATTGCAGTATTTGCAATGCTGGCCTTAGTGACTCTTGGAGTAGCTGGGGTGGATTTTGGGGCGTCACTAACACCCGGTTCTGAGAATTCAAAGGTTAAACTGGCTTCTTCCCCTGTGACTACTTTTGGCATAATAAAATATATATAAATCTAAAGAAAACTCAACAATAATGCAAAACAAATACAAAAGAACACAAAAATACAATATAAAACAATCAGAATAAAAACACACAATAATATAGAACAATCACAAAAATAAAATATTAATAAATTTTAAAACATTTAAGTTCAAGTAAACAAAGGAACATAAAAGTTTGAGAAGCTTTGGCTTATACGGTCTAGACAAAACAATGACCAACGACTCACAGTACCAAGAATGCGTGGGCGACGGCTGTGACCACGATAAGCGGGAACATTCCGATGACAGGCGCGTCTTCTGTAGCGCTCTGGAACGGAACTCGATGGATTCCAATTAATGAATTCTCTGACGATAATTATTTTATGAGAATGGATGTTTTTCAGGCTAATTTTCTCGAGATGATTTCCTCTTCTGAAAACCGATGATTGCGGTTCAGGATGCAATCGGGGATCCTCCTTAGTAAGTATGTGGATTCCTTTCCAGGAATCAATGGGGTCTCCTTAATGGAATGGACGTCCAGGCCGTAGCAGTTGCACTATATTTAGGTTCACCAGGACGCGCCAAGACGACACAGGATATTACTTAAGTTTAAAAGATTTCAGGATACGGAGCGAGTCTGCTAAGCGGTTCCACTTCATTTGACACTGGGGATTTCCGTATCCCATCGCTGCCACCAAAATGTTATACGGAGACTCTGCCACCAAAATGTTATACCAACCAATTACCATATACATACCAATTAATTAGGTTTAAAAAAAAGATTTATT